CAGTCGCCAGCAAGCATAACCCGAACGCTCCGACGCGTGACCTGGACTAGTTTGATTGATGCCAGCCGCGATGCACTGGGCGCTTTTGCCTACATATTACCTTGGTGGGCTCTGATATCATGTCAGAATGCGCGGTTAATATCTCGGCTACAGTACACAAAGCTACGTGGCGCTAGCGTCAAACTATTTCAGGACACGCTGCGGAGCGTTCGTGTTAAGCTTGCTGATGAGTGTACATGTTTAAAGAAGGCCGGACACCGCGTTGGATAGAAAAGAATGAAATAGAATAGAATAGATAAAAAGACAGAGACAGACAGACAGACAGACACATACAGACACAGACAGACAGACACATACAGACAGACACAGACAGGCACAGACAGACACAGTCAGACACACAGACACAGGCAGACAGACGCAGACAGACACAGACAGACAGACACAGACAGACAGACAGACAAACAGACAGACAGACAGACAGACAGACACAGACAGACACAGACAGACACAGACAGACAGACAGACACAGACAGACAGACAGACAGACAGACAGATAGATAGATAGATAGATAGATAGATAGATAGATAGACACAGACAGAGACAGACAGACAGATGCAGACAGACAAACAGACACAGACAGAGACAGACAGACAGACAGACACAGACAGGCACAGACAGACACAGACAGACACAGACATACAGACACAGACAGACAGACAGACACAGACAGACAGACAGACAGACAGACAGACAGACAGACAGACAGACAGACAGACAGACAGATAGATAGATAGACAGACAGACAGACAGACAGACAGACAGACAGACAGACAGACAGACAGATAGATAGATAGATAGATAGATAGATAGATAGATAGATAGATAGACAGATAGATAGATAGATAGATAGATAGATAGATAGATAGATAGATAGATAGATAGATAGATAGATAGATAGATAGATAGATAGATAGAAAAAGAAAAGCATACCGTGGAAAGCGAACGCTGCAGTGAGTAGCTCAGACAAATCTTGCATTCGTTCGCGCAAGGACAGTTCAAACACACTGCACGAAGTTGCCACTTGCTCAAACACCATCTCTTCACACCCTTACTCATGGTCTTCGAAGAGCTCAACGAACAAAACCAGCTGACAAAAGATCTTCCCACTAAAGTTAGACCATTGCTATTGTCCAATATGTTAACAAGGAGTTAGTCCTTATTAGTAATACACAATTTCAAAAAAAAATATTTTCGCATAGCAAACACACAGACAAAAAAGAAGGAAATCAGCACACGCGTCATATACCAAGAGCAGCGTTTGGGTCAATTCCGGTTTTGGTACGGGTTGCCATCACTTGCCAGACGCCACGCTGTATTCACCTTTTCATAAACGCCTCCCTGGGTGCCGCCGTAGCCCTCCTTGGGCTGTGCAAATTGGCGCAACCCCTGGAAAATGCACTGACAACGCTGCACCCTTAGCCTTCGTACTCCCGCGCACAGCCCAACATGGCGGTGTTTTTTTCCTTCCTGTGAAAAGGTGTATAGTCTGCTAAAGAACATGGTTGAAACGCTAGCACCCTCCTATTGCGCTCGTGCAGATCACAACGCGCACGTGACGTAGCTTTTTCATCTCTTGTCATTGCCTCTTTTGTAGCTTCCAGCTCGTCCATTAGAACGAAAGAAGTGAGAAAGCACTTACATAGTTTGTGACAAATCGATATAACTTCGCTTGTCTTGCAGGGTTTCGAAAATTTTGTGGGCTAATAGTTGTGGTTTATCATTCCAAAACTCCGATATGATTATTAGGAACGCCGTAGTAGGAGGTTCCAGTAATTTCAACCATCTGGTGTTTTTTTAACGTGTGCTGATATGGCACAATTCACGGGCCTCTTAGATTTCCCCGCCATCGAAATGCGACCACCGTAGCCGGGAGTGAACCGTCGGGTCTGCAGCCGAGCACCGCAGCCGCTACACCGCAGTTTTGTTGTTTCTGATTGACTGGTGAAGCAATACATTTTTAGAGTTTTGAAAACATCATTATCAGGATAATTAAGGTGCTATTTCAACGTTGTTCTTAGGTTTCTAATATCGGTGTTTTGAGAACTCTGCGGTACAGTGAAAGTACTGCGGCATTTCGTAAACATGATGCTCTATAAACGCATCAGATCTAGGTTTATCCAAGGACCGGGTAGGTTTCGGATTATTGGGAGGAGCGCACACGTCGTGCAGCTGTTATAAGCGAGGCTGATGGTTGTGGGACTTTACAATGCTCATGATGACGAGGGTGCTGGCTCGACGGCGATGACTAAAATTACACGCAGATTAGTGATGACTCGCATCAACTATTTCTCTCTTCCTACGCTAAAATCAATCGCTAATTGACTGGCATGAAATAGTGAAACGAGAAAGCAATGTGAGAGGCTGGTGGGCAACGTAGCAGCACGATACGAGGTCGAATCAAACCGTTTCTAAAGCACACTGGTTCTGCTCGTAGGTTCGTACTCGCAGGAGGGGAGCGGCGTGCACTTCCACCTGACAGCACTTTCAATGGTGCTGCCGCCAGTGATTGTTGTGCGACTGCTCCAGCACCGGCTGCTGGGCACCGCGCAGGCGGCGCGCCGCGGTGCGCCGTCGCGCGCCAGCATCGCCTCCGAGAACCGAAGCCGAGCGGGCTCGTCAGCCGACACCGAGGAGTCGCTTCGTGAGCGGCGCCACATCGCACTCACGGTCAACTGCGCACCACCTGGGCCGCCTTCGTGGACGAGGTCCGTCGAGGAACGCCGGGAGTCCATCCGACACGCTGACAGCAAGCAGGTGACTCTTCTATTAGTCGAGAGAATGGACAGTTTATCGTGACGGTCTCACAGTGTAGTACAGTCAGCTGTGACGCTGTGTTTCAACAGTCAACGAACATGCCGGAGTCGGCCCGGTTCCGATTGCAACAGCGCTAGCACTGGAACAAGCGATGCTGATACTCTATATGCTTGGGACTGTGCAGCGCGAGAACTTGGGGGAAAAAAAGAGGAACCACATTAAGCACAGTGATGCCTTGCTCTTTATTGGTTATTTTAAGAAAAAGTCCAGTACGTCTTGATGCAAACATCGGCTCATAAACCCCATCAAAGCTGCTTGCGCAGACGTGGTGTCGTACCCAATGAAGTGACAACCGAGGGGCGACAATTGGTAGTTGAAAACTTTTCGCACCTTTCAAAGTTTTAGACAAAGGGTCTTTCACCATATCGTCAGCTAAATAAATTAGATTTATTCAATAAAATGAAGGAAACTATTTCCCTTCATCATATTATTGGAGATAATACTATTATCGGAGGTCTTACGTCCCAAAAGAACAATGTGAATATCAGAGACGTCCTAGTGGGGGGCTCCGAAAATTTGGACCATCTAGTGTTCTTCAGCGTGTACTTGCATCACAAAGTAAACGGGCCTTTACCATTTTACCTTTATGGAAATACGACCGACACGGCCGGAATTGAACCCTCGACCTTTGGGTCAGCAGGCGAGCATCGTAGCCACATTTCCACGGAAGCGGACTTATCAGAAATAAGTATGACGTCATTCTATTTGTACGCGACATAATTGTATGGTAACCCTAATGAATTTATCTGCCCCTTTCTTTATTACAGTGTATGCCCCGTAAAATTTAAAAGCCTAATGTATACTTGGAAAATTTTTTGCGAGACTATTCAGTGTAACCACCTCTAAAAAGGTGTGTTTCTTGCAGGTGAGATAAATGCCTCGCAAAAAGTTTCACTATGGCGAAAGATTTGTATATCTAAACATTCAAGAATACAAGGATAACTGAATGCTTTTACTGTTGAGCTATGGGCAAAGAGGTTTTTTCTTAATGGTACTTTATTCATGAGCAGACCGTTTCATAAAAAAACTCTGACATCTCTGTAACGTTCTGCGCACTAATAAAGTATATTTCATTTAAAATCCAATATACCAACCAGCCCGAGTAGCCGCATTTAGCCGCGAACAGTTTCTTTTTCTTTTGTTAGCATGTGGCGAGGTAGGCAAAGTCGTGATTGAAAAATGTCACCAAGTTGAGAGCATGGTTCTCTGAATATTTTATGACGTGTGGGCTGATATGACGTGATGATATGATATGATAGCGCAATAACGGACGGCATTTCCCACTCACAGGTAACGGTTGTGGCTCCCGACGGCGGCCCCGAACCATCACCGGCGTCATCCCCGGCGGGCAGGCGAACCTTCAAGTTTTCGAGTCTCAAGAAGCGCGCAAGCAAGACGCCGGCCGTCAACCAGGACCAGCCCTCCCGGACGACCAGCGAGGCCGACATTGCGGCTTTTCAGAAGGAGCTGCAGAACTTGCCGAACTTTGAGACGCTGGTGAGCTTACTTCCTCTCTTTGTGCCTTCTCCGTAAATGCGGAAACGTTCTCCTTACGCGCACTTTGCGGAAGTAGACTGAGGTAACCTTAGCACTCTTGTCTCTTCATACTGCGACGCGGTTGCCAAGAAAACAAGAAGAAAAAAATGCATTCTGATCTGCGGTGCCTTTATTTTTGTGATATACTTGTTTCGCCAGCGCTGTTCTGCTGTAATAACTTGACGTAGTGGGTTCAAGTAAGGAGAGCGCCGCTCTCGAAGCACACGGACCCAGTGGACATGGTCGCACCAAACCAAACATCGTGTACATTTATTCATCTACATTTAGAGACTTCGATATCCTAAGCTGAATTAATGTTATATCACTAGTGACACGCTAACACAATCTTATACAATATTCCAATACACAAACATAACAAATACGGGGTAACGCAAAGGTGGCGTCGCCAATGTTCGAATAACCGAGAAGGATCTACAGGACACGGACCATAGTTGCCGCATCCCGCGGACACCCGTCAGAGCTCGACGATCACGCCAGCCGCCAAATGTCAAAAGGTCTCGCTCCTTCTTCCCGTTCGCCCACCAAGCCACGCCACCGTGGCCCTGCTAGCGCTACCGCGCTAACCATTATGATGTTGATGGTGAAGTCGCTCGAGCACTGCGCCACCTTGCACTCGACGGCCGTTCAACCTAAATACGGCCTATCCGCGAGACACGTCTGCGCCACAAGGCACAAAAGCATTTACGTGGGGTGATAGCCCTCCCGCAGTGTTTAGCAGCGCTTATACGAATAGCTACATCTGCACGTTGAACAAGTGCAAATACGCCTTTCGCATGTCGTCGAACGATTTTCTTCAAAAACTAGTGGGTAGTGACAAAGCCAGATTTCAGTCCACATGGTACGATCTTGTCACGCGCGTATAAGCACTCCTTGAAAGTGAGCGAGCGCCATTATAATTTAACTTATTCTAGCAATATGTAGTACGTGGTCTCTAATAGTACATTATTTTTTTGATCTAGCAGTAAAGAGGATAATATATTATTGATGTATTTACTCTTGCAAAATGTTTCGGTCTTCTTCCAGTCGTTCCCGTTGCCTTTCAGGACATGCGTCGTATCTTACTGCATGCCTGTGATGTATGACCGCTCCTTGTACGGGCCTGCAGAAGATCTACAGTATTAATAAATAAAGGAAATAAACCAACTGTTTCAGGTTTTGGCTCGAGAAATCTAACGACAGCCCCACTTCGTGTGCACACTTCTCTTGTTCCAGGCTGGTTCGAGCGATACTTTCACAGACGGAAGTGGAGGTGGTCTCGACGGGCTGGGCTACGCGCGACCGCGCTCCTGCTCGGTGCCTCGCGTCACTTTCGAAGCGGCGTCGCTACAACTGCCGCACGGACATGGACCACTCATCCGCAGTGCCACCACGGAGGGGGCCTACACGGGTTCATCGGTGAGCAAGCCCGCTGCGCCATCTGCGACCGCCGCTGGACCCGCCATGCCGCAGACGGCCACCCCTGTTCCGCAGCCCGTCCAACAGTCTCTACTCACAGGTAAGGCCACCCGGGGGCGTTCACGTCACTATCTATAGAGTGTACATCCCGAAAAGCAAAAGAAAAGTCACAGTCTCGTCTCAAGGGCGACGGAATGAATGCGATAGCAACAACTTGGAATGTAACGCTGAGAACGGCTAGCAGATGGGAACATGCAGCGCGCTTCTCACGCGAAACTGACGCACGAAAACGACACACACAGGACAAGAGCGAACTAACAACGTTTACCGCACGACACGTAACACACCGTTTAGGCAAAAAACGACGCACGAAACGTAATCACAGGTACAGATGAGTGCGAACTAACATGTCCCAGTTGTTATGCCTCGCTGTGTATGAAAAGAGCGCTCGTTTCGCAAACGGGGCCTGTGCAGCGACCGAAGTGACCTTTGTGGGCCCGGCAACTAATTAAATCGGGGCTGGTGAAAGCTGAAGGCGCATGATTCTAGGATAAGCGCGCGCGCACAAGCATATGATAATCATGACATGCATGTCATGTAAGAACATCACCACATTCCATGCTCATGATACGCTCGTGATTGTTTTTCTTTCTATATATATATATATATATATATATATATATATATATACACACACACAGACGTACTGTGTGACAGAGGCGGCGATGGCAAAAACCAGCTGAAACTGTTTTTATAATTGCTATCGCAATAAAAAAAAACATGGAGGACGCCTCCCCTTTGAAAGTAGAACGCGATCAGGCCCCATTTGCGTATAACCTTCTAATTGGCTTTGCACGCTCCGCTTCTCACTGGAACCTTGAACCATGCCACGATACACTCTTCAAGGCACCCTCGACTGATCGATGAAGACTAAGCAGTTCGCCCGACAATGGCAGTCAGCACCAATTCAATCGCAAGGGTGTCAGAATGCCTTAGCATGAGAGAAGGAACGTCAATGCGCTTGGCATTTTCATTTTCGCGAAGTAGCAAAGTACCCACTACATGTCTGTAAGGCAATACGCGCATTTGCTGCTGTTGATGATGGGGACGACGGCAAGTTTGGGTGCGCTCTTTTGAACGTATCTTCGCGCGTTCTCTTGACTGGTTCTTTTCGGTTAGGCTTCTGGATTACACACCAATATTCATAGCAGGATCATTTGTCATTGTACTGGCACTGCTAAAACTTCGTTCGGGCTAATCAGAAACAGTCGTAACTACAGATTCTTTTCCAGTATGTGCTGCTCTGTCTTCGCGAGCCAACTTAACACTTATGCATATGTTTCGACAACTCATACCGACAAACTTGCAAAAACTTCAGTTGTTATAGGTACCAGGTCATAGTGGCATATATCTCAATGAAGTGGCGGATGCACTAGCCACAGTATCTCTTAGCGGTCCCCTTATCCTGACTTTGCCTGATACGGCTTACGCGACAGCAATAAGGTTTAGAAATCTCTGTTTGCATAATGAAATCAACTCCATCTCATTGGATACATTTTGACGTTTCGCGCATTTAAGATGCTGCTGGAATAGACAGTTGTGCGCAACACGGCAATTGGAAGTTACTTATACCTGATTGCGTTGTAGAATTCCACAACTAAATTATTATTTACATACAGCTGGTCTAAAGGCCTCACCTTTAGGTCAGGTTTGCGAAGAAATGGTGACAATAGATAATTTCTTTTTATTTTGTCGCCGATGTTTTTGTCAGCGGAAAAGATACCTGGTGGCTCCACTTGAAAAATTAGGCTAAATAAATGTGGCAGTAATTCTATCGTTTGGCAGCATTAAATTAGGCTACAACCACAGGGACGTCTGCTCTGCGGTATTTGACTACATAGTTGCAACAAAGTGATTGCCATGTTACCATGTTATTGCTGCCTTTGTCTCTAACCACATCTGATAGCCTGCACCCTTGCTCAGATATACTCCTCTTTCAAATATTGACTATATATATATATATATATATATATATATATATATATATATATATATATATATATATATATATATATATATATATATATATATATATATATATATATATATATATAGATAGATAGATAGATAGATATCCCTCCAAAGTTACTCGTGTTCGTACAACCATAAGCCATTAATTTGAAGATCCTGCTGCCCGGTTCTTGGCCGATCCCCCTTTGTGGGTGTGTGCCAGTATTACAAGGATCATCATTTCAACGGTTGTGCAACTATAAACAGCTTATTCGTTGCATATTTCACCTGATGTGACCCCTGGTACAATATGATGTGCATATTACATCATTTAACATGACTCGTCGCCCGACATAATGCCTGCATTGACGAAGTTTGAAACTACTTTGATCTTATCCAGGAGCAGTTTTAAACACTGACGCGCCTATGTGGTAGGATACCTGACTGCCACTATTCGATTCCGGCTCGAACCCTGATTTTCATTCTTCGCATCCACTGCGATCGTTCACTCATGGACAACGCTGTGGTTGCCTACACCACATTTTCAGGAACATGACCTGAGTAACGCCTTTGCGTTTGCGTAATATCTAGTATCTTTAAAGGGGTACTGACACGAAATGTTTCGCTTATCAGTTTTTTTTTTGCTTCAAGTGATAAGCCACGCACCCGAGAGCGTTCAAAACGTACCGGTAAGCGCGAGTATGCAAGAAAAAATAATCAAAGCATGCTTTTAAAAGCTAGTTTCTCTTCCTACTGTACCTTGACGTCACGATGGATGGATGGATTGATATGGCTGTACCCTTTAGATTAGGCGGCGGCTAACGCCACCTATAGCCGAAATACTTAGTGAACCACAAAATAGATTTATCTTTTTTTTCCTTTATATAGTAAAGTTGAGGACTGGTACTTTGCAGTGAAGGATTGAATTTTCACTCGTGCCTTGATTTTAGCCACCAATCAGATAACCTCCTTCTAGTTATTTCCACCCGCTTAATGTCTATTTTGTCCACCCTGTCCCTAAACCCCAGTGCTTTGAAAAACTCTGCGCCATCATCCTGAACTATAGGGTAAAGCCCTTTACAGAACAATGTCAGGTGTTCGGCAGTTTTCTCCTCCTCTCCACACGCACTGCATACCATGCCTACCTCTTTGTATTTGGCCCGATAAGTCTTGGTTCGCAATACTCCCGTCCTGGCCTCAAACAGTAGAGAACTACCCCGAGTATTATGATAGATTCTTTCCTTGGCAATTTCCTGCTTAAAAGCTCGACAGATCTCTAGCGCGGGATTCTTAATCATGCCGATTCTCCACGTGTCGGCATCTGTTTTCTTCACCTTCTTCCTAATGGATAGTTCTTTTTGGTTTGGCCCCCTGCTGTTTTCTAAATATTTACCCGTCAATTTTCTGATTCGCTTGCTCCATTCTGTATCGACATTTCTCATGTACAAGTCATGTACAAGTAGCTGAAAATCTTTCTAGCCCAATGCTCCTCCCCAATTTCTCTTAATCCCTTCTCAAATTTTATCTTGCATATAGGTTCCCTGCCCTCAAATGATGTCCATCCCATATCACCTTGTACTCCCTGATTTGGTGTATTCCTGATTTGGTGTTGCTTAATCTCTAATATTGCTTGAACTTTATATCTCATGCACACGACCGCATTGCCGAACGTGAGACCAGGAACCATGACCCCTTTCTATATTCCTCTCACATCATACCTATTGTAATTTCACAGTGCCCTATTTTTCATCACCGCTTCATTCCTGTTACCTTTAGCCGTTACGTATATTTCGTGTTCCTTCACGCACTCGAACCCATTGCTCATTCATACGCCCAGATATTTGTATTTATCTGTTATCTCTAGCGTGACTTCCTGTATGCTGAGCTCACTACTTTCATAACGATTAAAAATCATGACGTCTGATTTTTCCTTACTGAATCTGAAATCTAACCTATCTCCCTAATTACCGCAGATGTCCATCAATCTCTGCTAATATTCTTGTTGTTGGCCATTAGCACTATGTCATCTGCGCACATCAATGCTGGTAGTGCTTGTTCAAAGAGTTTTCCTTGTTTATCAAAAAAAAAGGTTGAAGTCAAGTCCACTGCCCTCTAATTTGGCCTCTAATCCTTGTAGGTACATCATGAATAACAAGGGTGATAGAGGACACCCTTGCCTAAGTCCCCGTTTTATCTATGTGGTCTTGGATACCTGTTTTTCTCATTTTTATAACTACCCTATTACTTTTATAGATATCCGTTGAAAGGTTAGTTACTCCATCTTTCTTACCTAGTGTGTCCATTATTCCCCACAAGTCCTCTTGAACCACGATATGGTACGCTTCCTTGATACCCAAAAATGCTAGCCACAGGACGGTAGTTGTTTATGTCAGCTTTGTCCTCCTTTCCTTTATAGATCATACTCATCCTGCTAAGTTTCCATCCATCGGAGACTTCACCATGCTGCCTCTCTCATATGACGCGACACGGTATGAGCACCGCCACCAGGTGGTAGTATGTGTACGCTCAAGTTTTCGTGACGTATTGTTGTCCGCACGTCGCTTCTTCGATCGTCTGCTTCGTCTGCTGCGCGCCGCACGTGTGGCAACGGTCGCGGCAGGGATGCTGAACGTTGGGATGGGATCAATTTAGTGCTAGACACATTATACGAATTCGCATACGATATGTCGTAAGGCTGTTCGTACCCACAGCCTCATCCTCACGGGAGCATGACAAGGGGCGCCACCGGTGGGTGCCCTTTGCAGTTCGTTCCTCGTCGTTACGCCTACCTGATCGCCCGGCGGCCCTTATATTTGTGATATACATTTGTGGATATCGCAGTTGCCGGTGGCATAAAAAACGCTAGATAAACTGTTTATGATCTCAATTACCTCATGATTAAATAAAGTGATGCTTGAAGTGTGCTATTTGTGCAAGTCAACGTCCGTTTCAGAATCACCAACGAGTTATCGAGCAGTGATATGGCAGGCCATTTCATGTAAACAAAACTTGGGCACTGACCATTTTGGCGAATCGGCCTGCTTTGTTCCCACCTTCGCTCTTTGCAACGAGGTCGTCAAAAAAACCAGT